CGTGTAGAGTTTTTAAGTCATTTACTTTTTTCGTCTAATAGTTTAAAGCTTCTGTTTTTGAGGAGCTGGAAAAAAAAAAAAAAAAAAGGGCCTGAGGTAGGATAAGGTAAAAATTTGGTTGCCTCTTAATTTGTTTTTACAAATATACTTTCCTATTAGTCCCATTTTACTGAGCAGAATACTGAAGCCAGAAAGTTGAGTAACTGGAAGTCACATGGCTGAGTCCTAAGGGCCCCTTGTCCTTAGAACATTAAACCTCGAGAGAGAAGTGAGTGTGAGCTAAATGTTGAAGTGGTTAGATTGTGTTGAGGAAAGCGTCTTCTGGTAGGGAGACAGAACATCCTCAGGTAGACTTCTTAACTTAAAAAACAAACCTTTCAGAAATCCTTGAGACATAACAGACTTCTCACTTCAGATTTCTACTAGAATTTGAGTTACTTCAAGAGTATACTGGTATGGGACAATGAAAAGTGTTTACCAATTTTGCCTAATACATTGAAAAGGGCAACAAAGAATGCAAATATGGAGTTCACCCACGCAAATGAAATATAGATAGTTGTAGGCATTTCTAAGAAGTAGACAAATGGCAATTACATTGTTTGAGTTACCCTTCTGAACATACATCCTTTGAATACAATTGGCCTTATAAGTAGACATTCATAATTTCAGACAGCAGCAGAGAGACCCTTCATAGAAGCTTTATTCTTATGGATAGTAAAAAGGTTTGTGTTTTCTTCTCCCCTGCCCCCTAACCTTTTTTTTGAGACAGCGTCTCACTCCATTGCTCAGGCTGGAGTGCAGTGATGTGATCACGGCTCACTGCAGCCTTGATCTCTTGGGCTCAAGTGATCCTTCTGCCCCAGCCTCCTGAGTAGCTAGGACCACAGGTGTACGTCACCATGCCCAGCCAACTTTTTGATTTTTTGTAGAGACAGGATCTCACTCTGTTGCCCAGGCTGGTCTCAAACTCCTGGGCTCAAACACTTCTTCCCCCTGAGCTTTCCAAAGTGTCAGGACTATAGGCATGAGCCACCACACCCCTGCAAGTTTTAATGTTTTACTGTTAAAATGTAAACTGCCCCTGTGAGGTGATGAGCTTTATTATTTCAGTAGGGCCAGCAGGGTGATGGGCCCCAGGATAGGACAGTAAGACATGATCGAAGTGAGGGAACAGACTAAAGTCCTAGCCTGCCTTTTATGACATTACTGCCCTTACTTTAGGAAAAAAAAAACGTGTTTTTCCTCCCATTTAATTGGGTGTTTGAAGAAATAGCACTGAACAAAGGGTTCATCTAAGGATGAAGATAAATAGCATACCTAACCAATTAAACATTGTAAAAATTATCCCAATGTTATCGTTGCTTTCGTTGATTAAGAAGAAAGAAAACTAGAAGTTGGGGTGGTTTGACCCAAATGGATCAAAGAAAGATGTGTCATTATTTAGAAATGCTATAGGAGCTGCACTAAGATAAGAGGATATTTTCTAGTGTTTGGACAAAAACAAGGTATAAATAATAAATTGTTCAAAGCAAGGAACAGAAAACTTGACCAAGGTGGTTGCCTTAGGTTCTTATGGTTTGGCCAGAGAACTATCAGCGCTGTGTGTTTTGATCTGCATAACTATGGCATTTAGCTGTAAATATAGAATACTTGAATTGCAGAGTTTGCAAACTAGAAGGGACTGCAGAAATCATCTAGTCCAGTGGTTTTCAAACTTGATTTTAGCCGCAGACTTTTTCCTTTAAAAATGAAACCTTAGGTGGAACACTGATTATTGAAACATAATAAGAATTTGGTTCCTCTGTCACTTTAAGTCTTGAAAATCTTGATTGTTTGGAGAAAAAGTTCTTCATTGCCTACAGAATCCCTTAAGCACCTCTGGTGGCCCAGTTTGAAAACCACTGATCTAGTCCAACCCTTTCATTTTACAGATAAATAAACTGAGGTCCAGAGAGGTTAAGTGACTTGACCAAGGTCACACAGCTAGTCATGGAAGAGCCAGGACTAGATCTCAGGTCTCTTGATTACCAGTCCAGTGCTCTTTCCACCACACCACACTGCCGGTAAGATAGGTGCTGTGTTAGTATTATGTTCAGAGCCACCAATAGTCTTCAGTATTTTCTAGCTGATTTATGCTGATGATATGCATTGAATATTGAAGTGTATTATTCAGAAATTTGTAGGATATGCAAATACAGATTAGAATCACATAGGTATTCTCTTAGAAGATAAATCGGTAGCTAGAATGTCTCACTTTATTTTAAAAAATTATTTTAAAGCAATGCAATTAGGTAATGTCTGAGCTATGTGGATATTTTAGTCTGATATCAATGATCAATATGTAAGGAGTCAGTATGTTTTAGTGTAGACACATACTTTCATGGGAGCGGCATTAGGACTCCTGGCTGCCACTCCCTTGGGGGCCATGCTGTGCCATCATTTCAAATATTGGCCAGTTTTTTGTCTCTAGAATGGTACATCCCTCTTAGTATGTAGTGGGCATGTTCTTTAACGTTAAGTTCTACAGATTTGCCCTCAGTTCTTTTTTTGGTGGCGGGGGGAAGAGTTTTGCTGTTAGCGCCCAGGCTGTTGTACAATGGCACGATCTCGGCTCATTGCAACCTCTGCCTCAGGTTTAAGCGATTCTCCTACCTCAGCCTTTTGAGTAGCTGGGACTGCAGGCATGCATCACTATACCCAGCTGTTTTTTTTTTT